TCGCTCACAATTTCTTTGCTGATATTTCTCAGTTTGTTTTTAAAGAATCTGTAACATCTCGCCTTCTGCAGCTAGGCCAAATACTTAAGTCCGGGGGTGGCAAACTATGGCTGTGGGCCAAGTCTGGCCAGCAGCTTGATTTTGCAAATAAAGTTTTATTGGAACACAGCCACGCTCATTTGTTTATTATTGTCTATGGCTACTTTTGTGCTACAATGGCAGAGTTGAGTAGCTGTGACAGAGACTGTAGGGCCCACAAAGCCAAAAATATTTACTCTCTAGTTATTTATTAGAGCTGACCCCTGCTCTAATCTATAGTCTAATATAATTTTGAAATATCATCTTACCTAAATGAATTTATCCTGCTCAGAATTGTGCGATGCTTAGCAGCAAGAATTTGCATTCATTCTTCTTTATACCAGTGTCACCCTGCTTCTACTGAGCACCCAGACTCACCGGTATTTACCCAGCCTGCAAAGGCTGCTCTTTCCTGCTCTGTCCCAGACAGGGAGATCAGCCCTATTCCTTGATTCCCATCCTCCAACACAGTGCACACGTTAGTGCAGAAGTCTTGGCTAAAAGTTGGAGGTGATTGAAATAAGGCAAACAACTTTTATATTGAGGACTAGATACCTAACTCTGAAAATACCTCTGGCAACCCCGTCCTGCCCTCACTAGGAACACCTCCTTAATCATCCTGCTATTTAGGTCTTCACCATACTGTTTTGTTTATCTCTTCTTCAATATTGACATCATATTTGAATCCCCTCACTTTATCACAGAGAGCAATCATGCTCTCCACTTCTCACTTACATAGTATACCTATACATCCTCTAACACTGATGTGTACCAGTTATAGGAAAATAACTGGAATATGAGAGGAAACATTTTTTGTGATGCAGGAGGAACCTTGCTTTTCAAGGCTTCGGATTTTTACAAGGAGGGACATCAATTGGTACAACATTCATAGCCTTTCTCTACCCTTCACTCATTCTTCCCCAGGAAGCAAGTTCATCTAATATTATTAATAAGCTTGGGATAAGGACTGAACCCAATCCCTACTCTTTTTTCTCCTGGGACAGAGCTACCCAGAAGCCCATACTCTGGTCTTGCAGTTTGGTGGGTTAAGCTCAAGTCAGGGAAGGTGGGTATCTGGCATATGAGGTGGAACTACTGATAAAGAGTGCAATTTGATGAGCAAAATAATTCTTGTAGATGGAAACTTCAGTAGGCCAGGCCACGTGTCTTAGGGTAGATTTCCCTATTAGGAGACACTGAGAAAAGGATTTGAATGTGAATGGGTTTATCTGGAAGGCAAGCTTAGGAAGCACCATAGGGCAGTGGGGGAGGGAATGTAGCCCATTAAAGATGCCTTTTAAGCCAGCTCCACTGTGCACGATTAGAGCTCAATCCCACAGTAAATTCTGGGAAAGGGTGGAGAACATGTACCTGAGAGTTATCTTACCAGAGAGGTGAGAAAGCTGAGGTGTTTTTACATCAACTCTTGTTAGTCATTGATTGAAGGCTGCTCCTGGGGGTGACTTTCAAGGCCTGTCTGGCCTGCCCCACATCATAATGCAGACTTCTCTGACTCTGGGAAAAATCTTCAGGCAAAGAAATGTGGATAGTGACAGCTAGAAGTTCTTCGGGAGCACACTAAAGCTTTAAGGCCAGAGGGAGGAAGGCGAGGCCAGAACACTCTATGTCACAGACTCTGGCATTGAAGGGTGATTTTGGAATCTCTTAGTTAATTATGCTTTAACTTTACTATGGGATTTAATTTAAGGATTAAGAGGTTCAAATTCTGTGCTTTGGCCAATTTGTTTTCCGATAATCTAATCTCATATTTGGCTCTTAAATGAGGCTATTTTCAGAAGCCACAGGTCCAAGCCCATCTCCAGAAGGTCCCCTATTGCTGCCTCTATGTAGATCCTTAAGATAGGGCTACTTGCCTGCCTATACTCTGGTCTGCAGTTTGGTGGGTCCCAGCTGCCTCCTCAAGACCAGGGTATATTCTCACCACTGTCATCCCATGTTCATGTTCAATGGCACTTCTGTGCCTTCATTTGACGGATTCTTTAAAGAGAGGAGCTGAGACTGAGAAGAGCTAAAACTTCGAGCGATCAATTGATTTTCTCAGTGCTCTAAAAATACTTTGGAGAAACTGACGCTGTTCACTCCCTCAAGATTGGTCCATTGGACTTGGTGATGGAAGGGGATTGAGAGCCAGATAGAAGAAAAGAGAGAGTGAGATAAAAGACACCAGAACCTGGTAAAGCAGCTTCAATCAGAGAAGAGAAAAAAAGAAATTGAAGGGCGAAATAAGGAAAGTGAGGAGAGCACAGTATAACCACAGAACAAACAGCAAAAACAACGAAAATGAAAGGGCAAAAGAGTAGAGCTAGTAGACAGAATGAGCAAAGGAAAGAGTACTGAGAGAAGAGGAAAATGAATTTTAAAATGGCTGGGTTACATTGGACAAGATGTGTTGATCCCTGAAAGATAGGGCCAAACCATTCTACTATGTGGATTCAAAAAGAGAGCTGTGAGAAGTAGAGGAGAACAGTCCGAGAACTGGTCCAGGGACTCTCCTAGTTCCTAGCAGAACTATCTGCGATAGCGCAAATGTTTGCTGCTCAGAGAGTGGTCCGCAGACAAGCAGCACCAGTTTCCTCTGGGATCTCCTTAGGAATGCAGAATCTCAAGCCCCACCCCAGCCCTACCGAACCTGCATTTGACACAGTGCCCAGGTGATCTGTGAGCACAGTAAAATTTGAGGAGCCTGGGTTAAACAAAAATATTACGGAGCATTTAAAGACTCTGAGAACAGGGATCTAGCAAGACACTGGGAGCACACTGAAACCAAGGAAATGATTTCTGCTCCTCTTTGTACGTTTACTTTCCATCCCCATTCTCACTCTCTCATTCTCTCTCTCCAGACTGGATTTATCAGCTTTGTAAGGCCACATACAGAAAACAAGGCTGCTGAGAGCTCATACATTTTCACATTATCTAAGTCTCTTATAGAGACACTCATTTCTTAGTCTTAGTAATGAAATCACTGGGGAATGTGTTGATTGATCCAGCTCGGGTCAGATGTCCTCCCTGGAACCAACTGGCTGGAGACCGGGGGTGGAATCCTGCCGCGGGCACAAGGTGGCTGCACTGCAGCCATATGACTAGAGTTGGAGAATTGTTCTGGACGGATAATCCAATAGCTGCCCACCTCCTACACAACAGAACTTCACCCTCTCTGAACAGGGTCAGCATTGGTGCATCTGAGCAGGTTATGACTTTAAAGAAAGCTACTTAAGCTCTCCTGAATCTTATTTAAACAAAACATTAAGCAATGCCACTCTTGGCTTGTGCCTAGAGGAGAGTGGTCAGCAGTGCGTTCGTGAGTGCCTCAGTGAAGTAAAGCTCACACTTTACTGAAAAGTAAAAAGGCTTTCATAAGCCCACGCTGCAGCACAGTTGGCCATGTCTTTATCCCAAGAGAGGACTATAGCATTTTAGCATTTGTCATGGATTCTGGAATGTCATAGTTGACTGTGAGTTAGTTGGCTGAACCATTTGGAAATTGTTGGGAAATTTTAATTTTCAAACATGAGCCTGATCTATTTGGGCTGAGATTGCAAACAATCACACTAGAAGCGAAGTGATCATGATGACTATTTCTAAGCCAAATAAAGTGAGGCAAGCTGCTTATAGGTTGTGATAACATAGTATATTGGTATTACATAGAGCCTTTGGTGATGAGAAAATATAAATATCCCAGATCTGTGGAAAGAACTACTACACCAGCAAAGAACCTCACAATATCAAAAACAATGCTAAAGACAAACCTCCATATCTAAAAAACACATTTCATGAAAAAAGGGGTTACACAGGCAAGGAAGTTTGAGATTAAAAGAACTATTATTTATACAGAAAGAGCAGAGGATCCTAGAATCCTGGAAATACCCCCTCCTTGGCTATTGTACTTAACCTAATCATTTGAAATATGCCTAAATCGAGATGTTTGAATAATCAGGGCAAAACTTGTAGGTGCTTCGGGGTTTCGCCAAAACTGGTCAAGAACAAGTTGCATTTTTAAGAGAGCTGTGAAAGAACAAGCATTTATAGTATATATAATGTATAGAGTTGTGCCCTTCAAGGTAGCCCATGCCAGTGGGTTGCCTTTGTCCAGATTTGGTGACTTGCCACAGATCACATGGTATCCAATTGACTTTTTTTATGGCCTTTCAGTAGAAAATGGAACCCCCTCAAAATGACCTCTAATAATGTCCACTTCTGGTGCAATGACTGTACCGTCATCGAGGACCTGGGGGACTTTTTGATGTCGATGGGAGTTGGAATTCTGAGTTGACCTGTGGGATCTATGGTATTGAGACCAAAGAGGAAATAGATCAGGGTCCTCCAGGAATGGCATCTGCTTTTACTGCTGTGAAATAGCATAAGGAGTGTTGGACTCCAGACTGCTGGCTGAATACTTCTCTGTCCCCACAGTGGGATACTAAAAACTGGTGAGCTGGATAGAGGTGATGAGGAATTCAATCTCAAAGCCCAAACAATAAAATCCAATCATAAATTTTGATGGACATGAAAAGAACAAACTCAAGACAAATCTTCCAACTGCCAGGTTTCCCTACTTTAAAGTTGATCATTGTCTATAAAATTAGAACTGAGCTCAAGGAGAAGAGAATTTGAACACTCAGTTATACTATGAGGAAAAGGTTGAATTTCTTTAAGAACTTAATGGAGGCATCTGTTTTGTTTCAATTAAGGGTCTGTAAGTACCAGCCAGAGACTGAGTTGACAGTCATTTCTGTAATACAGTAATAAATCGTGAGGATGGTTAAGGAAACAAGAAACACTAAGTTCTTCCTTTGTTCAACCAATTAAACAATAAGCCATCTGGGTCTTTTTGTTAATTACTGTCAAACACAACATACAATTGAATTCAGCCTTTTATTTAATTATATTAATTTATTCCAGCAACTTCAAATACCCACAATGCCAATAATAAAGTTCATTTAAAAAAATAGAGGTCTCGTTTAACTTTTATTTTTCAACCATTGATATCCTTTACAACGTCGCTGTCTGAGAATTTTCAGCTCTGTCTCAGCCTCAGGATATTAAAGGAATTTGATTTAAATATACACAGTTCTGAAGGAAGAAGAGAGTGGCTAAAATTTCTTCTCTCAATGGGAAGATGAGTCTATCTAGATCGGTGCTATCCAATAGAACCGACGTTTGCAATGATGACATGTCATATATCTGTACTCTCCACTACAGTTGTCCCTAGGAACATGTGGCTATTGAGCACTCGAAAGGTGACCAGTACAACTAAGGAAATGAGTTTAAATTTTCTTTAATTTTAATGCATTTACATTTAGATAGCCACATGTGGCTAGTGGCTATGAGTACAGATCTAAAGTATATTCTGAGGAAAGAGAAATGCAGTGAGTCATTGACCTAAGTAGACGGAGAAGGAATACATAATTATGACAGGTATTGTTTGGAAACCCTCACTTCCTACCTAGTTGTTCTCACTTGAAACACACTGAGTTCTGAGAAATCAGCATTTTTGAGGGGTGGTTTCTAAGTAGAGCATGTGAAGAGTAAACTCCATCTCAAAGAGAAATGGGCACGATGGTGTCTTCTGAATAGCAGAACCAATGCACTCAGCAGCATGGTCAGACTAGGCCAAGTCAAAGCAAAGAGAGCCAGTCAGCTGTCGCTAGTGCTGGCTCTGCTCTAGTCGAGGTGTGCTTGTTCCACGATGGTGAATGTTCAACCTGTGGGCACATTTGGGGGTCTCGGACAGTTTCTACAGGCTGAGATGGCCCTGTCTGCCCTCACAAACATTAACGCCCGACTCTGGTTCCTCTCATAAGAATTTTGGCTCAGACACTGGTATTTCCCCTCCGAGAAGTTTGCCTCAAAGGTTGCTATTTCTAATCCAGTCAATACAAACCGTGTATCAGGGCGTCAGGAGTTTCTCAACTGCATATGCTTTTGATAACGGGAATGCTCAGTCTGAGCGGACCCTTCCAGACACCAATGACTAAAGAGAAATATATTGCATGAGAATCTGGTTGTGGTTAACCAAGCTAGAGAAAGGCTAGGGCGGGGTGAATGGAGGTAGAAAGTTCTGAGGAAATTCTCATCAACATGAAAACATCCTATCCCTGGTTTACTGACTCTTTCAGCTGCCAGGATGAGCTGGGGAGTTGGTCCAAAGCTCTCTCCATCTTCTCTCCAGCCCTAGCTTCCCTTCCTTCTTCCAAGCTATCGCTCGACCAGTAAACATGAAATTTGTCCTAATAAGCCTAATCCAAAGTTTTGGGGATGTCGGGCCATTATTCCCTCGTCACACTTTAATTTTCACGACTGGCCACAAAGACAAGCCAAGGTAAGGCCACCTAAAATAAACTGATTGATTAAATTTATGTATCCTGGAGGTACTTCCAGAGAATGCCCAGGCCTCTTTCTGTAGTCAGAGATAAAAGCAATTATTACACGCTCGATGGAAGAAAATGAAGAACCTTCTGTACAATATAATGATCATCTACCAGTGATGAAGACAATGAGACAATGAGTCCATTTGTTTTTCTTTTCCTTTTTCTAAAATAGCCAGTGGACAATGAAATAGGTGTGAGAACGAAAGATTTTTCTATATTCATTCATGGATATTTCTTTTCTACTATGACCAGGAGCAAAAACATAACAGAGTCTGCTTCGTGAAACATTCTAGCTCTTTTAGTTCTCTTGGAGCTGAACTGTGATGGCCAAACTTCTCTTTTCCTTCTGACACTGGCGTTCAGTGTTCATCCACATTGTTGACATTGTCAAATTGCCACAGTTGGCTGGCTTTGCCATCACACTGGCGCAAGTACAAATCTTTATTGTTTTCCTGCACCATGGCTTCCATGCATTTCCCAGAAAGAATGTGAACAATCATACCATTCTGGAATGTGAGAAGAAAAGGAAAAAAAAAAAGAGAACCAGTCAGCCTCCTACAGTCGGCAAAGAAGGAATTTCTAAGATTTGTGTTAATCGTTAAGAAAATAATAGTGGTAGTGTGAACTGGTCTGGTAAGGAACTATAGTATTTTGGTTAAAATATAATATAATATAGGTAGCTCTAAAGTTTGGATGTCATTTATAGAGCCTTGGGGCCAATAATTCAATTATCGTTATTGTGGTTGGATAATTATACTATTTCTGGTTAGTGAAATGCCAGTGTAAAAATCATGTTCGGTCTTTACACCGTATTTGTGACATTCATTGTTATCACTGACTTGTAAAGTTCTGCTTTCAAAAGGATTTAATTTAATCTCTGCCCTCTATTAAACCTGCAATTTGGTACTGCTGCCACCAGGTTGCAGTAGAGAGTAAGACTTGAAGGATATACTGTAAGCCTAAGTCAGCCTTGGTTGAAAGACTACACAAAATCTATCAGATTTAATATTGAATCTAGCCATGCTCTTTTCACACAAAAATCAATGTCTCCATGGAAAGTTAAACATCCTTAACCAGCAATGCTGATAATGTCCATTTAGTCATTTGTTTATTATTTATATATTTTTGAGATATAATTCACATACATAATATTCTCTCTTTTAAAGTATACAAGTTGGTGTTTTTAGTATATTCACAGAGTGTATGCAACCATCACCACTATCTAATTCCAGATCACTTTTATCACTGTTAAAGGAAAACCGTTATTCATTAGTAAGTAGTCACTTCCAATTCCTCCTTCCTTCCAGCCACTGGAAATCACTAATTTGCTTCCTGTATTTATAGATTTGTCGATTTTAGACATTTCCTATAAATGAAATCATATATGGTCTTTAGTAACTGGCTTCTTTCACTTTGCATGATATTTTCAAGGTTCGTGTCATAGCATAAGGTAAAACCTATTTTTTTTTCTTTTTTTATTGTGGTAAAAATTTATAACTTAAAACTTATCATCTTAACCATTTTTAAGTGTAAATTTAGTAGTGTTAAGTATACTTACATTGTGAAACAGATATTCAAAACTTTTTCATCTTTCAAAACTGAAACTGTATCTATTTAACAACCCCCGCTCACCCCAGCCCCTGGTAACCACCATTCTACTTTCCGTTTCTATGAATCTGACTACTTTAGATACCTCATATAAATGGAATCATACAGTACTTGTCTTTTTTGCAACTGGCTTATTTCACTTAGCATGATGTCCCCCTGTTTCATACACATTGTAGTATATGACAGAATCTCTTCCCTTTTTAAGTCTAAATACTATTCCATTTGTATGTATATACCACATTTTGTTTATCCATTCACCCACCATTATACCCTTGGGTTGCTTCTACCTGTTGGCTACTGTGAATAGTGCATCTATGAAGAGTTCATCAATCCTTTTTATGGCTGAATAACACTTTTTCTAAATCTTATTCATCAATGCCTGAAAGATGCTATGAGTATTTTACTCACTAATCTTTTACTAATTATTTTTAAATGCTGTTTCTAAATGTATCTTATCCACAGAACTTACTTAGTGATACTTCATCATCACTCATAAAGAACCTTAACTTGGTTTCTAAGGCTTCTTTGAGTACGTGTGGGCCCCCTGGGTCCTGGTTTTACTTGTCACGAAAGCCTTGTGAACTTTGTTCTCAACTGCTTTTGAGTTCAGCCTAAGTTTTCCATCATGTGATCTTCTTTCACAGCTTGCTTTAAGAGTACTAATGCACAGAGTTCTGATTATTTTACCCTCCTAATTCTCAAGCAGAAGTTGAAGAAATAAAAAATATGTGTGTATTTATTCATTTGTATATTTATACCGTAACTCATTTCAAAAAGGATTTGAGGTGGAGAAAAAGTCGCACATGAATTCTTATTGTTGATACTGTCACATTCCTCTCCCAATTCTGTATGGGGCACCCATTCACTCTCCCTAAGTATTTATATTTTACCTATTTCCTTTTTATTGATGAATAACTTCTAGAAAGAATCGAGAGCTTCTCTCTCTTAAGGTAATAGAGATCAAATAGGGATCTTACTAAAATGCTGAAACGTTCACAGCAGAATTTGCAAAGGAAGAAAGCAATACCTAAATCTATATCTATGTGGTGGTGGTGGAGGGGGGAACCTTTCCATTGCTCTTAAAATCACACTACTGAGGTGGTTGACTATTTCCAAAACATGCTTCGTGGTCCCACTTGTGACCTGAGATAATACAATTCATAGAGGGGCTGCCTCAACTCTTGCCACAGTTGAGGTCAGAGCTATACAGAAACATGGCAAATTAGTACATTTTAAGATACTGGTGGCCCAAAATTGCTGTAAATTTGGCTTTAACTCCCCCTGAGGCCTTAGCGCCAAGCCACTAAGTTAAACAGCCGAGACACAGGTCAAATGGTAATACTTGAGTTCCTGGAAGAGCTTCGGGACACCAGCACTGCTGAGCCCTTTCTGAAGGGACTACTTACCTCCTGGAAGTCCCAGTGCTGCTGATGGATGGCAGGACCCTCCTCAGTGCAGTTCTGAAGAATCACCTGCTCGCTCCTGACATCAAAGCACAGGTGCTGTGGGCTGCCAAAGTGGATCTCCTTCCTGCCAATGTGCTCCAGGTGCTGGGAGAGAAGGAATGGTTGTCAGCACAGATAGGAGATGTTCTCCAAAGCTGGAGATGTGGGAAGCAGAGCTCACAATAGAGCTGAAGTCTAAGGGGCTTTTAGATTTTTAGATTTTGCGAGGAGTCAGCAAGACTATATCTCATAGTCAAGTCTACAAACATACTGCTTGACTATCTCTGGCCTCTAACATCTCCACATTTCAGCTGCTCTCACATTCATATTTAATGGAGGAACATACGTACCTTCATTATTCTATTTACTACATTGTAGGTGAGTCCAGGAAGAATGCTGTGAGCTTTGTGAGTGTACAGTTGGAAGGGCAGATGAAGAACCCTTCTGAGGCCCAAGGTCATCGCTTTCTGGAGAGATCTGACCTGGCCCTGCAACTGAATTTCCTGCTGTTTGTTGTTTTTGCTCTCACTCATGGTTATTATCTTCTCTGGTGTTTTAGAGTGTTGAGTTGTGCTTACCTTTGCAGGTGGCCTTTAACTGTGGGACGCCTGTGTGGCCGGGTGGAGGGCATGTTCTGACAAAACCATTTTCCATTTGTTCCTGCCAAGTGCAGCCTGGACTAATTTTTATGTCAATTTCATGGCTTAGTGACGAGGTCAGCTGCATGGGCGTGTGACCTGTGCCCCTACATGGGGCCTCATGCTTACAATGGTTAATGATCTTAGTTCAGCATACTTGATTTAATGCTCTACTGTGTTGAAATACTTAATAAATGATGAATTAGAGGCCTCACATTTTCATTTCGATCTGGGCCCCACAAATGAGGTAGCAGGTCCTGCTTGTAGATTTCCAGACCACACCGTTTGTATAAATTTGAATCCTAAACCCACATGAGATGCAAGTTTGTGGTTAAAACTCCAGGGGAGTAATTGTCTCCTACTCAAAGACTCTGTAGAGATAGACAAGCTTCCTTATTATCTTCCTGTAGCAGTGGGTAGATTTTACTAGTCAAACTTTTGAGCTTGACGTTTTCGCAGTTTCTCTTTAAAAATCAATGCTGGCTTGACATAGGATCTCTCGTGGGCTCAGGGAAGGCACTTGTCACTTACTTTGACATGGAACCAACACCTCTAAGATTCCTCAGGTTGACAGTAACTGTCCCCTCAGCCCAGGCAGGGAAGTGTGGTCCATGCCCAAGGGGTCTATTTTCAGGTACCTCTTGATTTTTGTCTCCTGGACATTTTTCTTTCTT